AAGGCAAGGCAAGGGAAAGGAAGGAAAGGGAAGGCAAGGGAAAGGAAGGAAAGGGAAGGGAAGGGAAGGGAAGGAAGCGAGAGGAAGCAAGGCATGGGAAGGGAAGGCAAAGAAGGGAAGGCAAGAGAAAGGAAGGGAAAGGAAGGGGAGGAAGGAAAGGAAAAAAGTTGTGAAAGGGTTCATATTAAATAATAGATGCCTTTTGAATTTGAAGCTATATTTGTAAGTCTCCTCCAGTTCCCTGCCTCATCTTTAAAGGTAGCTGTGCTGTTGCTTTGATTTTAGACAGTAGTGGAGCCTGCAGTGATTGATACCTTCTTATACACCTATAGTCAATTATTTAGAGGTTTCTATCCTGCATTACAAGCTCAGCAGTAAATTTCTCAATTTGTTTCAAGGACAGCTACCATTTAAGATGGCACAATGAACTGTGAAGGAGAATAATGGAGATCTTTTTCTAAACGTAAGAATAGTTATTTGTGACTCCCACACCTATTTTTCCTTTATTATTCACAGTAAACTGATGTGTCTTCACTTTGGAAGCTGGGACAGTTCTAAAGAATGGCTTATTGATMTTCCATCAAAGGAGGAAATTGAGGTATTGATTTACTAAAAATTCAGAAGTTTGTACAAAACCTGGTAAATAATAGAGCACACTAAGTCAATCTTAAAGGCTGTTGCTGTACAAAATAACACAGCCACATTATTGCAAGTTCATTGACGTCAAATCAATTATTTTCACAGGCTGTTGCTGTTGGTGACAACTGGACAGCAATAGCAACAAGCAAGCTTCAACTTCGGGTTTTCACAATGACTGGAGTCCAGCTGCATATTAYGAGTATTGCTGGTCCAGTGGTTTCCATGTCTGGCCATGGTAGTTTCTTGTTGGTGGTCTATCATGCTGGCAATCCTTTACCTAATGAACAATCTCTTGGATTTAAACTTCTTGACTTACAAAGACAGCAGCAAATTATTGCTGATCAACGGCTACCATTATCAAAGAAATCTACTCTTTCCTGGGTTGGGTAAGTTCATCATCGTAAAACCAGTCAAACCTGTTTTACAGATAGTCAAACCTGTTTGTTAGAAGTCAAATCTGATTGTAAGCAGTCAACGTGTTTGTATGTTGTTGAACCAGTTTGCAAGCACAAATCTTGTGTTTGAATAATAGCAATTATAATTTTGGAATTCCCTTTTTGTGTTCATAAGGTTTTCTGATGAAGGAACACCAGTTACTGTGGATTCGTTAGGTATTGTGCGCTTTATGAACAATTCCTTTGGAGGTACTTGGACCCAGGTCTTAGACACAAAGAGTCAGGTTGGTTGATTGTTGATTACTGGTAAAACATAAGGTTTTGAATCCTAAAAAAGTTAGAAAGACCTTAGTGAATATAATATCTGTTGATAAGTCTTCATCTACATGTACACTATATTGCCTGAAGCACTGCCAAATTACAGGGTTTGAAATAAAGGGAGGTCAAAGGACAATGTCCTTCCAAATTTGCTAATTGTCCTGTCAAATCAGAATTTGAAAGGACATATTCACCAGCTCTATCTTTAAAAATTCATCATGACCTTTCAAAAAAGTGTTTGGAACAGCATTATGTCCTGCATAGGTCCAGACGTTATTTCAAGCCTTGAATTACATGACTAAATGTCTTGAAAGTTAAAAATACTTTTTCTGCAGGCCCTCAGATATACTGTAGTGGTCTAAAATTTATTTTATTTTTGTATTTTAGTTGAAAAACAAGTCTGATAATTACTGGATTGTTGGACTTCAAGAAGTAACCAAACAAATAAGGTAAAAGCTTTTTGGTGGAGCCCAACACAAAACTAGTGAAATATTTTTGACTTGTTATAATATTATATGTGAATTAATACTCAAGATGTTTGTTTTCAGGTGTATTTTGTGCAAAGGAGCAACGTTTCCAGCTACATTGCCTCGGCCAGTTCAGGCTGTCCTTCCTTTGGAGCTTCCACTTTGTGAAATGTCCACAGAGAAAGGAGAAAAGGAGGTGAGAAATTAAGGTTTAATAATACTTTCAAATACACAATTTCATATTTTATATGAAAAGATTTAGCCTGTAAATGACAACTTCAACATTTTCTGGTTTTACTTTGGCAGAGCTTGTTGTTACAATCTGAATTCATTGTTATTTGTAGTAAATACTTGTCAAAATTTCACATTTCTTTTTGCTGTCATTTTGCAGGAAACCTTCATGAAATCCAAACTAATGTCATACAGCTACAAGCAAGCAGTGGACCAAGGACTTGATGTGGATGAAGAAGTTGCTCAACAGGCTGAAACCTTCCAAATCCAAACACTTATGAAGATGTTTGCCGTAAGATAACTGGATTAAAATATTGATTTGTTCATGATAAAAAGATAATTTATTGATCCCTATACTTCTTGACGAACATTATTTTAGTATCTAGGAGTACATACTCATATCAAGTTTTAATGATCTTAAAAGACGTTATGTAGATATATTTATGTACAGTAGTGATCTTTCTTTCTTTGTTTTGTTGTATGTACAGCTTGCCTGCAAAAGTGACAGGGAATTCAGAGCATTCAATATTAGTGAACTTCTTCCAAACCAACGATCCGTAAGTACAAGTCATTTGCTTTTTTTTATTTTGGACATGCCTTATTACATCTTTAGTTATGGCAGTTTTTGAGGTTGCAGTCTAAAGTGTCCAAGTGGCATGTCTTATTGCTTGATTGTCAATTAAACATTGTGAGGTTCCTGTGTCTGTAAACAGTGGTTAAAGAATTTTTTTTGCTAATAATGCATGCGCTGTGCTATCTCATGTGATCACCATGCCATGTTTAATTAAAAAACATACCAACATTTTTGGTTTGAGAATTGGAAAACAAGCTTAACAACTGACAGCTTCTTTGTTAAATCAACCTGTGCAAAGACAAAGTGTAATTCTTCAGTCCTATCAATTCTATGAAGGCTTTTCAAGTTGATTATAACTTTTACCATTTTGTTTCAAATGCTCCCATATCATCTTAAGGTCAGCCTAGCAATAAGGTATGCTTCTGGAATTCGAAAAATGAACCTTGCACAAAGACTGAACGAACTTGCACGTCGTAAAGCTGAGGAAGAAGAAGCAGCTCTAATGGAGGATTACAGCTTGCCTGCAGAGACAAGAAGGTCAAACAGCCATAGTATTACTACTCTTCCATCAAGAAGACAAGTAGAAGAAAATGATGATAGCGAAGTGGAGGAAATGGAACAAGAAGATGAAGAATTTGAGCCTATTGAAAACCCAATTCTTAGCAGTAAGATATAATACATGTCATGTTAAGGTTAAACACCATGTTAAATGATAAGCAAGTGTAAAAAATATGAAACTTTCCAACTTTGGTGTGTGCAAAGCAAAGTGAATGAAAATTCAATGATCTGATGTCTTGTTTTTAAGGTAAATCAAGAAATGATTCAGAGAGACGCACAATCTTTCTAAAGAAAAAGCCAAAACCAAGTGAATCACCTTCGCTGAGTTCATCACAAGGCCGAAGCAATCCATTCAAAGTGAACAATAGCCAGAGTCAGAAACCAGTAAGAAATAAAAGCTTCTTTGACAGTGTTGAAGAAGACAAAAAGACAGCTACTGAGGCAGCAGCTTTGAAAAACAAAAGAAGTAAGCTCAGATGAAATATTTGCCACAAAAAGCATCAATGCTTTAGCCAGTGATTGAATGCAATAAATACATTTGTATTTTCGGATTAAAAACATTCAGCTAAATTATTTCTCACACTTACTAAAATAACTTGATAACCCTTTTATTGTGCAATTTGAATCAAACAATTTTTGGTTATTATCTACAGCACCAGAATCAAAGCTGAATGATGGTAGGAAGAAAAAGAAAGGTGCCAAGCAAATGACCTTAAAAAGTCCCATTTCTCAAACAGAAGAAACAGTTAAAAACACAAAGAAAAGTGAAGAAAATACAAAGTATGTCTTTTTAAAGTATACAATTCTGTAATTGATATACTTAGATTGTCCATCATGAAATGCTTTGCTAATTATTGTTTAATGACTAAAGTCTCAATAATTTTCAATGTAGAAAATCTGGCTTCACATTATGGTTAGAAGAAAAACGTCCCCTTCTTGTGCAAGAAAACCCAGATGCAACTGATGGTGAACTTGTAAGAATATCAATGAAACAATGGCGAGGTCTTTCGCAAGATGAAAAGAAAGCGTGGAATGAAAAAGCGACAGAAACTGGAGGAAATTCCGACGAGAAGAAAAGAAAACGGGAAATTCTAGAGAACAATGAAAATGACAACAAAATTACAAATACAGTCAACGAAAACAGTATGAAGAAATTGAAATGTTCAGATAATGATAGTGGAAGTGCAAGCAACAAACTTGCAGGCTTTGCTTATTCCAAGAGTTGAGATTTTATTACTACCATCATTTACTAAAGAAATTCAACAAAGACTTATTTTTTTAACTCCATCTGTACATTTGTTTGCTGGTAACAGGTAGTGTAAAATATTCCATTATTGACTTGTTCAATAATGCAGTTCTGTAATGCCCATAAAGTTGGCATCTAATATTATTTAAAAAATGCAATACAATATTGTTGATTTATAAATTTTATTAGACTCTTAAAAAATCAATTTTCTGAAAATCATCCAATGTACACTTTATGAAACTCTTGAATAAATACTTTACAAAATATTACATTGTTTTAAAAATCAAATCTTTTTGCCATTATATGGTTAAACTCATTCTTATACACAATATACTATTTTATTTCATAAAATTAATCTAGGTTTGTATCGTACAAAGAGGGCAATGTGGCACCGTAAAAAAAAACATTACTAAGTTTGATCTGTCTTTATACAAACAGTAAAAAGCATGGGTTACTGGAAAATAAGGAAGGATTTGGCCAACAATTTTAACAATATTGAAGTAGCTTTTGTATAGAATATCATAATATTAAAAAAAAAACTAAATGATAAAATTCATGTTGCCCTTTTTATACAAAACTATTTTTAACTCTTATTTCTAACTAATGATTTCTACCAGTAGTTAAATCACATTATTAAACACGCTAAAATTTAAAACTGCCTAAGCTAAATACTGTATGACTGTACATCTTGTATCACTCACAAATCTTTATTGCTTCAAAATCACGAAAAAGCTTCTCATGTTATGCATAAAACATAATATCAAAATACTTGATAACTTGAATGTCAATCTTCCTCATCATGAACAAATCTATCTGGGCTAAATTCCACCCTCCTTAGATAATACATAAGTTCAAATATAAATTTCTTTTGAGGACAGTTGAATACGGTACATTCTGTGTGTGGATTTTTGTCGACTTTACTCTCAGGTTCTATCGGGGGGAGGCAGGGCTTGCTCTCCCACCTCCTCCCCTGTAAACGTCATATGGAATGCTTGGACCTCATTCGAACACTATGACTTCTTGTAGTACTCTGAAAAGAAATCATTTTTCTATAAGAATGGCTGAATTCAGAAAAGACAACAATAAACAACAAGTTAAAGAATAATTAACAGAATTGATGATGAATATGTATGTATGCATTTAGCATTTTCTATTGAGCTTCCTACCTTGTTCTGCTGTGATTTGCTTCGAACACTCTTTTTGTTGATTTTTGGAAGAAGCACAGGCATTGACGCACTGAATAAAAAATAAAAATTTAAAATAATATTACAATGCAATAAAATAAATAAAATATTTTAACATATTTAACATTATTAAAAAGCAATATCAACTTGAAATCTAGTAAAACAATTAGTTGGAAAATTCATTATTATTTTTGATAATCATAAAGATATCTGAATTGTAAAGTTCCTAAAAAGTGGAAATGATACTAATGATACTAACCAGAATAAGACACAAATAGAATTGAAATTTCCAATAAATAGTGAGAATCATAGAAGTGCATTAATTGAAGATTTCAGAGTGTGTAGCAAACATTCTGACTGACCAGCAAGATAAAGATTAGGCAGCGTTTTCACTGGCTGCTCTTAACTTTTCTATCAATGACATGGAATCAGTTCAGCAATATTATACAGAACTTTTATGGTTTCAAACCATGGATGCAAGCAAGAAATCAAGAAACTACACAAGATACAAGACAAGAGAGTTGGTCATAATATTTATCATTGTGTCCTTTTCTGCATGCACAAGCTGGGCTTGTAGGGTTGACTTTATAAGCTTGCATGCAGGCAAACCTTGTGGCTGGTCTTTTCTTTGGTAAATGCTGGCAAATCTTTCTCCTCACTGGAGCTGACCGTGGTTTTGTTGGTGGATTAAACCACACTTTCCCACGACTTATAGAGAATAATGAAGACAGAGAAGAGAAAAGAAAGAGAAAAAAACAAGTCATGATAAAATGAGTGCTAATTATTGTCCCATCTACATGTGAAGCTTTTCTATAATATTAAAGAAAGAAACAGATTAGGGTGAAAGAATTAATAACAGAAATGGACCAAAGAAATGAAAGTACATGAAATGAATCCAAATACTGTTTTGAGAGAGCCACTAGAACAAGAAGTAGAGAAAAGGTGGCGATTCAGTTACTGTATCTTATGTTATCTCTGTGAATAAATGGATTCCATTTCCAGGTAAAAATGTGATATAAGTTTGAAATGTTGTAGGTTTATGTGAGTCTTAATTCATCAAGGAAGATGGGACCTTGTGAACCATATCAATATAAATTACAAAAGCTAAAAGAGGCTATATCATGACAATTTTTACACTAAAAGAATAACATACCTTTGTTTCAGAGTGCCATACTCTCCACCGACTAAAGGGGCAGAAAGGGATCTATAGGAAACACCTTGAGGACAGGTCCACTGAAGAAAAGCAAATTTCATATTCAATCATTGTTATAAAACTGTAAGTTAAATGATTGTGTAAATGCAATATTGTTTAGACAGTTTTGAGTTTGTTTTACCAATGCTAAATTATCAAAAGTTTTTTTTTTTAACAAAGCAGAGAAAAAAGCTTCCTAATAATAATATAAGTATCAATTGTATGAGCAGCATTTACTTGATTGAAAATGTCAAATATCAGGAATGAGCAAGGAAACAGTTTGACAGGTTGTTTTCATATGCAAAGAGTTTGCCGTCAATTCAACTTGATTTTTAATCTACACTTTATATTAATGTGAGAAAATAGTGGGAAAGGCTGCCTTACTGCTGTCTGTCAATTCCAAGGTCTCTACTAGGAAAACACAAAAGGTTTTTTTTTTAATCTACACTGTCATTTCCTCTGTTTTGACCCCCGTGCAGAGCCCTAAAATCCAAATCTTTGCAATTATACTTAAGCAGCACATTAAGTGCTCCTTATAATTTTACAAACCTGATGAGCTTGGTCATTTGTGGGACCAAGGTGAAGCTTTTGTTCTGCTAAACCTTGAAGGTATCCAACCCCTGCAAGTAATAAAACATTAGGTAAGTTCTATGGACACATTTTTTTGATAATATGGGCTACTTGATGGTTTTATGTGGTATGTTTTTGTGTCATAATAACCACATCAAGTATACCTAGTATATCAAGTATACCTTGTTTGTTAAAGTTAAATTTTATGTTCTAATGTACCTTTTTTTGGTATTTATGGAATAAAGAATTATTATTTAGTATGCATGTATAAAGGTTGAAAGAAATGGTTTTTGTCACTTGTCAAATGGAGAGCCATTTGTAAGTAAAAATGTAATTTTTGGATCAATTCTTTTAACTAAACCTTTTCGTACAAAATGATTCAAAAGCTGGCTTAAAAGTTTGAAAACCTAGCTCAATCTGCTTAAGCTGAGAGGAAAACTTGTCATACTAACCATAGGTAATATCAATATTTGTACAACCCTTTTCTATTTTTGTTTAATATCATGAAGACATGGAAGCATACATTTAAGTGATTAGCATATAACGATGCCTTTGTGTTAAACTGTTAATGGCCTTGATAGTGACATAACCGTGCAAAAACAGTGCCTTGTTTGTCAAGAAAAGGTATAGTTTTAAAACAATCATGCTTTACTCATCATAGCTAGTACAAGTAGATAATATGCAACAAGCTACAGATGTTTGACAGCTGAATTCAGTTGGTGGCCTGATATCAAAGATATTATCAAAAACTGTATACAGTTATTTTGCTTATAACCAATACTAACCCAGTATTGTGCTTCTACCTTCTCTAAGGTATTTTCTTGTCCACTCATCAAGAAGAATATCATAATACCTCTACAAAAACAACAATTCAAAAAAGGTAACATTTATTTGTATTTATTTTCTTATATTTATGTGTCTAAAAAATACAAAGTAAATAGATGTACAATATGTATATAAAAAATGGTTTAACAATTAGTATAGCAGGCTTACATTAACTTGAAAAAACTGTAAATACTTGTGAGATGTCATTGATGGAAAGGCTCTTTGAAAACAACCACGGCGACTATACTGTTGGAATAGAAAAAATATATATTCAATAAAATAATGTACAAATGTTATATTATAATTATATACAGTTGACTCTCGCTATTACGGACACCCTCGGGACCGTAATTTAGTGTAGCGAGAGTTTGTAGTAATGGGAGTTTCTTTCTGTCATTTTGTATTTTTCACCGGGGAGTGAGTCCGGAATATTGAGGTATCCGTAATTGCGGGGTGTCCGTAAGGCGAGAGTTGACTGTACTGTAGTCAGATGATATAATGTTGTCATTTTAGTTACCTCATCTTCTGTTTCTATTAGAATCTTTATGTCATTTGGTGTTAAGGTGTCTAAGATGGTTTGCTTGGCTCTCTAAGGTAAATAATATGATTATTATTATTAATTATCATTTAGGAAATAGCATTTATATGAAGAGAAGAATAGTTCAGATAAGTATTGGTTTCGGTGTTCACATTTCTGAGAAAATCGGGTTTTAAAAAAGATGCTAATTTGGAGTACTTATTATTTTATTATACAATTTTTGTTTTAATTTCTCCTTATCTTACTGGGTAACAGAAAATGAACTCCTACAGGGAGGAATTATTTAAGAGTGCATAGTGATCATAATATTAAAAACAAAATTATCTGAATTCACCAAATTAGCATATTATGATCTTTCAAAACTAACTGCATCCAGTTATGCTTAGACTAGACTCCCTGCAGCCATTTTCCCTTGTCATCTCTTAAACAGACGCCGCTGGAAAACGGCTGCGGGGAGTCTATGCTTATAGACAAGCTAATATAATTTATTACTGTATCTTCATATTTATTCTATGAAAAAAAATTGTGCCCCTATCTTTTATTTGATTATCAGAACTATTTCGACTGTATAGCAAGAAATTTATATTTTATCTGTTTATCGGATGGTTTTTCTATTAGCTTACCTCATCAAGATTCTTCTTGATATAAAATGCATGCTAGAAAAGAATTTGTTTGAATTTAATGTGTAAAATTTGGTAAAATAGTCTACAATGTAACATGTTTTGGAGGAAGGATTGTGAAGTGATCACAGAATAGCCACAGTAATTGGAGGTTGCTTTAAAAATTTGTCATTTCTTCATTCACTTTTCCTTTTTTCATTTCTTCATACATCCATTCATTTATTGAATACTTTTTTACTTTGCTTTGACTGACCTTAGCTCGTTCATCAGATGATAACGAAGAAAGACCCTTGTCTTTAACAAAAAGGTTCATTCCGTTGGWGCTATTGAAGAAAAGAAAAACTGTCATTGATTAAAATTACTGGCTAAAATCACACCAGGTAAATTACACTTCATACCTTGCATTAGTTGTTGTGACCAGGTTTTCAGGGATATGAAAAGCAGCGAGGTTTAGCAAATCTTTAATCATTTGACCCTTGATGTTTTTATCGAGTTGTGAGTTTGAATGCAAGCTGGTAAAAAAATCAATCTGTTAGATTTACTGGTAATTCCAAATGCTTTCAGTAACGTTGCCTTGGAATAATATGATGTGTCATTATAAAAACAGCACAAAGATGGATATAATTTATAATTAATATAATAATGTGTGCACAAGTCAAACAAACAATTCAAGAGTTTGGCTGATTCTTTTGTATTAAGTAATTGCTGTCTTTAGAAAGCATCTCATTGATGCTCTCTCTTTCTGATAAATGTTTTGAATATCTTTGAAAAACAAATTACATGTGACAATAGTTTGTTGTTTACCTGGGTGAAATATTAACCTCTAATAACCAGGGTTTCAGATTCTCATCCAACATAACATCACAGCCAAACAACTCATGACAGCAAGACCTAAATGAACCATAAATAAGAAAACATTAGAGAGCAAATAATAATTAAAAAAACATTTTTACATACATACTAACCTTTTTCTGACATTTTGTTTCACTAGAATATTTACAAACTGTTCAGACCTAAAAACAGACAATAACAGTTAATAAGGAGTTATAGCAATTTCATTTTTTTTACAGTTTAGGTAATGACAACTTACGCAATAATAGCCTTGACAATGATGTCTTTGATGTTCTCCCAGACCTGGTTGTGGTTGATACCAGCTTTCTTCATGTATCCCCACAATGACTTGAGACTCCTATAAAGTTTTATTAAGTTAAATTAGTATTACATGTAAAATGGATTTAATATTAATTTTATATTCACCAAGTAGAGCCAGGAGAAATTTTGGCCTAATGCTGCACATAGTTTTTCGTTTTAAAGTTGTTTACAGAGTTATTATAAGAATATTGGCAGTCATAATTTTTGTTTGTTGCACTGAAATCTTAATACAGTCAAACCTACCATTTATGTCCTTGGCAAACTGAATCATCTGAGTTAGGTTGATAAGCACCTTCATTTTTCTTGTTTACACTGTAGTTAGTCAGGTGCATAAATCGGTTACTGAGTGTCTTCACAGATGAGGAATACCTAAATACAATGATGTATGTTATTAGACTGGACAAGCTAGTTCAAATCTAGTGTTCAGAGGTATTATTATCAGATTAATCTCTGTATCTGAGAAAACACAATAGGCCTTTTCTGAGAGAGCAGTTTGCATCACATTATGGTCTAGTTTCAGTACAAACATCTTTTGTTCATGCTGCCAATCATGGCATTGTTTGTGCTGAAGCTAGACCACAATGCACTTTGACTTAATTGTATTTCAGAAAAGGTCTATGGCATCTTTCCTGAGGCATTACCAAAAGTGATTTAATTGCACTTACTTGCAAGTTGCAAACCTCACCAAACCATCTTCAAAAATATAAATCCTCAATGGATCATATGACGTGATGTAGACATATATTCTTAGATCAAATTTGCTGCCGTTAATTAGGAAGGGCTTGTGAAGATATCTGTGGGTAGAGAATAATGTTACATGTATATCTAACTAAACAAGCTACTGAAAGTAATTCATGTAAATCTTTTCTTATTTCTTTGAGACAATTATGAATATGAGACTCCTAGACAATAATTATAGTTACATGCTATACAAATGTGTTCAATTGCTTACCTCTGAACTATGACTGGCCTCTTTCTTGGTATTTGTGACCATTTATGAATGACCTTTATACCAATTCCTCTTGCTGATGCAGGCTTTAAAGTAAATCAAAACACAGTCTAAACTAAATGGAATAATAATTTCCTCATCAATATGAAGTTCAGTCCAGTAACTTACTGGTTTCAAGATCCATTTCTGTCTTGAACCTCCTTCATCCCATGCTCTTTTCAGTTGTTTGAAATCATAGGGAAGGCAATATGTTTGTGGTAAGAAACCAAACTCCTGCGTTAAAGATTTGAAATTAATCTTAATATTATATACACTTGTAGATAGTGTTCAGATGTTTGATAAAAATATCATTTACCTTTTTCCCATGTTGAATCATGAGTTTTGAAACATTTCTCCATAGTCTGTCTTTCCTTCCTATCTGGAATGTTCCTGGGAAATGGTTTACCTGGAATATAAAAAATCAACTTACAACTCTTTATTCCAATTATCTACTGACCACTGTCAGGTTTTGTCTTGTATCCCAATTGTTATAAACACTCTATTATTACCAGCACTGAAAAGAGCTTCCTTTAACCGCAGACACTCCCTGTTGCCATATACAAGGCTAATGAGTTAAGCTGGGTTAAGTTTTATTGTTATTGAAAGAAAAGCTGGCAAAATTAAGATTATAGCTAAGTCCCTAGTGGATTATTTCTTTCCATATCACCATTCCTTGTGGATTTATGTTTGATTACATCATGGACATGTAAACTGTGATCAATTCTGATGTTACTTGTATCTTCTTCTAACCTTTTGATATTCCCTCACAGATTTAAATGCTGTAGCTTTCATGTGTTTTCCCCAATAGCCAATCCAATCACTGGATCCTGATAAGAATAACAATCCATTATGATATTTGCAAGCTGATTGCACTACAGTATTACTAATACAATAAAATATATACAATGTCTTTGTCTAAATTCTGCAGCAATGCTTCATTACTATTTTACAATTCAGATCTCATTATTTTGTTTGAACTTACTTTTAGTTGGCTTAAATCCAGACCTTGCTATACATTGCTTGATAACATTGGGAGTTATTGAACTCATTTTCCATTTCAAAAGTTTACGAAGATCGTGTGGAAGTGAGGCAACTAAATAATGAAAAGAAAACTTTAATATAATCCAGGAACCAATGGTAAAAGTTGTAGGCTTTAGGCATTTCTCTTGGCCTTAAAATGGAAGTGAAGTATCATTTAGTTACTTTGTTGGCCATACCTTTTTCACCTTCAATGGTAAAATAGATGGTTGGTGGTACATGCTTGAACAAGCTTTGTACTAATGCTGGTTTGACATCCCCATCTTCGTTGCTTCCAGACTGGACCCAATTATTGGTTTGTCTACAAGAACCAGGAGAAGCTGCATGCCTTGCACTGTTAGCTTTGCTTGTTAATCTAGATGCAGATGTTGAACTTTTCTGTTTATTAATAGCTGCACTTGATAATCTGGACCTGGCTGACTGTACTCTAGAAGGGGTAGTACAGCTTGAAGCACAATCATCATCATCACCATCATCATCAGAAAACCCATCTACAGAAATAAATAGTAACAATGACGATAAACTAACTTTACTGAAAGCTGTCTGTAGCATTTAATTGTTTCCTCAATTCTCAGTAATGAATTTTAGTATCTTTATTATGTCTGACTGTTTAAAATCCTAATGAGGTCTTGCGTTCAGATAATCAAATAAGTCAAAGTCCCCTAATACTAAATTTAAAATGTAGTACATGTCAAACTATTACACTTACTAAGCTCTTCCCCATCAACCATCTCATCACATTCGTAGTATTCATCCTCAAAATTGTCTTCTCCCTCCACAGTACAGTCATTATCACTGTCATCAACATCATCTTCATCTTCTTCTGCAATATCTGAGAAACATCCATCTCCTGGTTGTCGTTCCCATACAATGTCTTTTTCAAAATAATCATCATCCTTGCATGATTCCCCATCGCCGCACACTCTGTCTTCAAAAAGTGCTTCCTCTGTCTTGTAAAACTTCCTTTGAAATGTGTTTTTACTTCTTGGTATCGATGGAGGTGTTGGTTTATTTAGAAGAAGGTTTTCTCCAGTTGGTTGTGTCTTTTTGGGTAATGTTGGGGGATGGGGTTTTTGTTTTCCTTCAGACTTCAATAAAAGTGGTTTGGCCTTTTCTCTTATCAACCCTGTTGGGGGTTTGGAATTCAGTTTTAGGTCTCCAAAACTGGCTGTCAAGCTCGACTGCCATAATGGATTACCGCTCATTGTTCAAGTGTCCTTTCTTTGATTGAGTTTTGAATTTCATTGATGAGACGTCTTGCCTGCAAAGTAGAAAAATTGAATTTTTCAAAGTGGACCTTTAAGATAGATATATTGTTCAAATCGAATCGCATTGAGTGTAGAATATATTATAGGTTCTCGAGCGTATTTTCTGTTTACCCTTGTGTAAATAACTTGAATTTTATACTATACAAACTAAAAGTTGCCATGAAAGTTTGGACGCTGTAGTACCTCAAGAGAAGTTCGAACATTTTGTCTTCTGTTTGACATTAGATATCAGCAAAAACACTTGGCTTGCAAATCTACAAAACATGATTAAAACTCGACATTTTGTACTCACCGTATATTTTTCTACCACAAAGAAACGAAATTAGAAGAGCTGCAGCAACATTTCCTCAGAGCCACTTGAAGAAAACTCATGTTTTGCATTTGGTATCACGATCACGGTCCGTTTTACGTCTTCTATATATGAAGTTTAGCGTTAATGGTCTTGTAAAGCTCTCAAATAGTCAAGTAACAATCTTTATGAGTATCCAGGGAAACGGGATCTTTTCCACGGGGCCTTGGACAGCTGAGCAAACTTACCGTAACATTTACCAAAGCAAGGCCGACAGTTTTCCCTCGCATTCACGACAATAACTCACGAAAACCTTTCAGTTTCTTGAAAACCAGTGATTATAGAGTATTTTCGAAGTTAAAACTAGTGTTTGAAGTTCATTAGTAATCATCAATAAACAATTTTGAGGTAAAAAGTAGAACAAACATTCAAGAAAGCATGTTTATCTCCTTAACAGTGTTCTTCTCGAGCCATTGCTTGTTGCCACTGGCAACACTATCGACCAATCACAACACTTAGATTTTTACAGCAAGCGAAAGCTGGAAAACTAATTATAATTTGTACTTTTATTTTTAGGAACAAATTTCTCTTGCTAATTCTATAAAGTGAAGGTATGTTTTTAATGAAAATATATTCATCGTAATTATTTTTATCATATATTTGCAATGAAAGATTTTCTACCGGCTTTATGGATTTTACAGGAAAATACCTGTCATTTTTTTTACTTTGTTTTGATATACAACAATGGATTTCAATTAATTATGTATTTATTAGTTATATTTAGCAGCTTTAATATATTTTGGATTAATTTCGACGCACAGCACAGGAAGCCCGTAAATTTCTAAAATAGCTACACAGGAAGCCCATTTCGGTGCTGAAAAAAATGTATTTCACATGTTGTATCAATGCTCGTCCCCCCTACACTTGCTTTCGTTGACGCTTTTTAGATTTTTTTAGCGTTTCTTAACCAAGTGTTTCTTCTTCGTTTGATTCACATACAGTAGTTTCAGATTTTCGATTCTCGGTTTTGACCTCAGATGTATCGAACAATATTCCCCCGGCGTAATTACTTTGACTTATCTACTAATGAGAGTAAATTACTTTTACATGCCGATAACAGATTCTCCCGAAACGTTATCGCAAACCAAAGAGAAAATGAAATTACTCGTGGACTGCATCAAACAAGGTCCTTAGGAGCTGTTTGTGTACACGAGTAAACCAGCCCCATTTAGCGAAGTATTCAATTTTGTCTTTTGTCCCTCGGAACTTCTAACTGACCTAACTAATCGGGCTTAATCGCAGTTCATGAGATGAGGTCCCTTTTCCATGTGGGATAGGCTTTGCTATCGTGTAAAGAAAATCATGCATAATAGTAGTAAGATTCAAGGCATATTTGTTCATCTTCTACATTAATTTTAAATTATTTTCGTAAAGTAACGGCTTTTCGCAGCAAGACATACTAAAAACAAAACAACGGTAAATGACTAAAAATGATCACGTTTTTTTTAACACGAATACATCAAAACTCCCCCCCCCCCCCCCCCCCCCCCCCCCCTCTCGACCAAATTTGATTCATTGATTGACGGTTTCTTTATTTCAAATAAATTTCATGCAAAATCTAACATTTCATGCTCATTTTGATTGTATGTTTGGAACCCAATAGTGCACTTGTCAATCCGTCATCTGTCGATAACCAGTACCAATCGGCTATAAACTGATAACGCAATTGAGTCATTATATCGAGAGAATGATATGTAATATGCTATATATCTAAATATGCGAGATATCGATGAATGTCATAAAGCCATAAAGAACCAGTTTCAGTTCTGACTGATTATACCACAAAAGGGATCAATACCAGACTTATAGTGAGTATATCATGAGTGTTCGGTCGAATAAGAATTATATTTTATGTGTTCTTAAAGGAACGAGTGCTGAGTACTGGATACTCGAAATAGTACGAAATATGTTCACTTAATGGCGATAAACTGACCCTTGATGATTTGAGAGAGCTTGTCTCTAATAATATTGCATCTGTTATAGTTTTAAGGTTTCTTCTTAACAAATCACCGCAAAAAGCTCGAGAAGAACGAAAGCCACTTGAAAAGAATTGTACCAGTTTAGTTAAACATTTCAAGACCTCTTGTGAAATGGTTTTGTTTTTAATTTTGTAAAAAAATTGGTTTGTGTGGAGCTGTTTTTGATTTAGAACAGCTTCGATATGGTGTCTGTAAGTTGACATAACAAAATTACGGGACGGCGAGAAGAATTTTTATTTTCATTAGCATTTCATTAATGTTTAATTCGTAATTATATGTTGCTATACTTTTTTTGTATAGACTGATTGAGTTTGATTCTATAGTTTGAACTGATGCTAAGTGCTACCTTCCGAACTTATGAATTCTTCTTTTAAAGCCTAATTTTTGCTGAACAAAAATGTGACACCAAATAAAAATATAGAGCTCTGTTTTTCTTTCTTTATAGACCACGCAATAATCTGCAGATTTTCAAATCTTAATCAGCGCAAAGACCGCGGAATACATACGTTCCACGTTAGTTTTCGACATTAAAACATTTTTCCGGCAAATTCTTTTTCATAATAAAAGTGAGACAGGCACGGTTAATTAAGAGGGCAACCGAAAAACCTAGAAAAGGCGAACCACTTTATACAGTCAAACAATTAAGAGTGAATTACCAATAACCGAACGCGTCTCGGGACGCAAATCGTTTCGCAATTTACCGAATGTGACAACAGTATATTATTAGCGTCTGTAAAAAGTCAATATTATATTTCAATAATGAGCTTTAGTTGTGTTTATTGATCTCAATGAAACCTAAAACCGTCTCTCAGTTAGGTTTCCTTTCAAAAACATTAAATATGAAAGACCTTTCAATCTTTTGTAAGCAAAGTAAGTTTGATATCATTCATATATACATCAATTCACGACATTTTTAAATTAAAAATAGTAAAAACGAAGTGAAGACAAATGTGTGAGTTATCACCAACACTGCTCCTTTGTAATGCAGGAAATTAACCCGGCTAGTGGGCTGGTCCTCTTAACCATGAACTCGACTCTTCCCTGCTGTAACAAAGCGGCCTATGGTGCTAAGCCGATTTTCTCTCAATGTAAAAAAACCCGTCGGACGACTTTCTTTTCTTTGGTTCAAGTGTAATGTCTATGCTCATTAGTTATTGATCTCGAAATTGAACGGAAGATGAGTTGAGGACTTTCCGTTAACTGATCTCGAAAACAGGTGGACTTTTATTTATGGAAGCGATGTCATTGACCGCTTTGTTAGATTTAAACTCAATTTCAAAACCAAAAACTCGGAGTCATAAGAGTGAGTGTAGAGTGCATTTCTACAAATATTTGCCGGTATTCTAACGCAAAAAATTACTTTGTGAAACCTTTCATCGAGAAAAAAAAATTGCCATTTAACCAGTAGGACTCTACAAACAGTAAACGATTATAAAATGATATATAACACGATTCATTATTTTTTGAAAAAAAGTAGTAAACCACAATTTTTTTCTTGCGAGAACATGCATATTCACAGAGTTTATTGAAATAATAAAGTCGGTCAAACTACGGAAACTAAGTCGGTTGACCGCGATCTTCTTCTCGACCCATTGATAGTTTAAGACGCTGCGGGGTTTTTTAGATATAAATGCAAATGTCAATATAAGTATTATTCATTCTCGACTTCATAAGACCGGTTTGTAATTATAGAAGAAAAATTTTAATATTAAAATACGATTAATTTGTCTTGTAAACCAATAAACGTAGGTCATTGGTCAGTAGCCAATCAAATTCAAGCAAACATAATGACAGTTACCTGAGTTACTCTACTGGAAATGTTTTGAAGAGGTCAAAAACCAGCTTTAATACCCCTAGTGTCTCTGTTGTATTACGTACCGGCCCACAAGAACACTTAGATAGACACTAGAATAGTGCCTTTAAAAGGTCAGCTTTATGCGTAACCGTCAAATCAATTGACGGTGTATTTTGAGGTGAGTACGTTATGGATTTTCGTAGTTAGTTTTGTTGTTTTCATTGATAATTACAATAATTGTCTTCCCACATCAATGCTTTTTCTTTAGATTTTAATGTATATCCCGATGTTGCAGTTATTGACCATTGCAAAAACTATTAAACTTTGAACTGTTTCAAAAACTCAGCGCAAAACCCTTCGAATTTTTGTAAACACGGCCGTAAACGTACAATCAATCGCTTCACTAATGATCATGACCGCTCGGTTGGAACTCTTGGTGATACATGTATACAGAACTAACACAAACAACTGAAAAGGAACTTTTCGCAAATGTTCGAGTAGACTTTGCATTTCATTGAACAGATAGCTTAGCCCTTTGGGCATATATATTAGCATAGTACACTCAAGTTACAAAAAGACCATGTTTAGAAAGTAACTTGGTGAAAGAGGACGCGGAAGATTCAGTGAATTTTGGGAAGGCATCCGTACAAGGAAAATGAATAGATGATATAATGATGTGAAACAAAGTAAATAATACAATTATAAAAACATGAAGACGTATTTTAGATTAATATGCATTTCCAGGTTAAAGTGGTCCCAGTAGAATTTTTCCACACGAGAACTATTCGATGCAATTTTCGATCCTTAGCATTGCGTTGTATCTGCATGACATATCAAAGGTCTTGCCCTCTTCACTAGGGCTTCCTTATCGTATTTGCATTGTTTTCTCTCCTCAAAAGGCTGTCAATACGTTTTTGATAACGATATTTAAAGGACGTTTCTATTGACGTATTTTTATGGTTTCTGCGGTCAATAAAAATGTTCAACTGTGTATTTTTTCTTGGCTGAACACCGCTCGCTGTAAAAGCTAATAACTTATGTCTTCATGTGCATATGCTTTTTTGTTTTGTTTTGTTTGTTTACTCTGGTTCAGTGGCTACTCAAACCAACCAAAGGCAATTTAGCGTACGCTCGAGGGGCTTGATTTTGAGGAGGGTCCTGGCTAGGGCTTTTTAGCCAAGCCTTCAAATTTTCAGCTTAAATTCAGTGAGTTATAGTATTTGTTCAAATCAGACCCCCATTCCCACTTTTTCCGGGCGGCCAGTAACTACAATTATTCGAAGTAGTATTTTCTGGTCAAGTAAAGCTTTAAGAGTATAAAAGTTAAACAACTACTCGACCTGATGTGCCATTTCGCTGTAAGTTAAATTCTTTTAAATGGTTTGTTGAGCACATTTCATCTTAATGGGCATAATAGGCTAGCACCCCTTGTGATATACACTGGCTTTGTCTTGAGTTAATAGGTATTATTTGTTGACAGCTGTGAGATTAAATTGAACGATTTCGTTTTGACACTAATTGTTATTTATTCAAAAAAAGAATGCTTTTTTGTCATTGGTCGAGGACTGCAAATTCCTGCGGAGAGACATTCTTAATTTTTGAACACCACTTCCCAATCGCGTGGGAGGTTTAAGCCAAGAATCATGCAAAGTGTTTCTTTTGAATGCTGTTGGATGCTGTTGTGATTAATCCTGCTTTCCATAAATTAGTAGGCATCTCTAATTTAACACTTTTTTTACACGTTTTCCCTTTTATTTTCTTATTTTTCAGCACCTTGCTCATTTACTTGTGAATTGACATAAATAAGTTTAAGTTTGCAAAAATTAAGAATACTTCAAAAGTAACGCGCTCTTCAAGAACCGAAGTTAGACATAGCCGGCTTTCATTTGACCGATTATTCATGCCGCTTGCTGCAATAATTGTTCTTTTCTCTCGATAAAAATCAGTTAGAGGTTCGTTTCGTTGCATTTCGGCGCCACACCTAAAACAAGAATCAAGGAAAATCATTATAATTCTTTTTTATCTTTTTAGGTAACCACTTTTCACCTCATCATGGCAGTCTCAATCGACGACGCCTTTCAACATGTCGGTAGTATGGGCCGATATCAGATTCGATTGGTTGCCATGTTTCTATTTTGCGCTTTCTGTGCGTTTGGTTTCCAGGCTCTCCTGATCACTTTCATCGCAGCGGAGCCTGGGTGGACATGCGCAGAGAACAGTACCGCTTGTAATTTTACTGAAGTACAAAAGCCCGGTTCGGACATGTACAAGAAACGATGTGACATGAATAGAAGCGACTGGGAGTTCACCAAGGAATTCAACTCAGCGGTTACACAGGTAAAACTCAAGTAACCTCTTTCCCAGGCTTTTATTCTCCAAACGAAGGGATAAGAGCCTGGGGACTGGTCGACGCTCAAGGAATGCACACAGATATTTGCAAGAACTCGAGGGTGGGGTATACATTACTCTGATGAAAATTGGCGGAAGGGTACTTACAGGCAGCTTATCGAAAGCATCAGTACGGTGGTTTCACACAGATGATTATGAAAGATCAGAAGAGGGTCGTTCAATCCAGTTACTAGTTTGCATCTATTTTTATTGTTATCTATTTCTTCTTTTTAGTGGGAGCTAGTTTGCGACCGGTCCATTCTTCAAAGCGTGTCTACCTCGTCAATTTTTGCTGGATGGCTGCTTGGTGCAATCGTACTCAGCTGGGTTTCAGACAAGACCGGTCGGCGTAAAGTAGCATACTTTGGAAGTCTTCTAATCATAGCGTTTGCCTTGCTTGGCGCTGCTTCTCCCTATTTCTGGATGTTTGTATTGTGTAGAGCCATTGTTGGTTTTGGTATAGGTTGGTATTGATACAGTTTCAGTTACGATTGTCATTAAGATGTATTGTCATTATTAATAGTAGTAAAATAGCAGTAGTTATCTTGTAATAGAGACAGCGGTATCAGCTGCAGTATTATAGTCTCGAAAGCCAGTTCTTCTTTTCTTATTTTTCTTCAGATCTTTTCTTTTCAAATTAGTTCCTATTTTATCATTTTTTCCCATGAACTATATCTTGCATTTCTCAGGTGGGACATCTCTAAACCAATTCGTTCTAATCACCGAGTTTGTTGGTCCTCAACATCGTAATCTTGCTGGTACACTAGTCTGGTTTGCCTGGACTTTCTCTTACATGGCCTTAGCACTTTTTGCTTACTTCCTTCGAGACTGGCAGATCTTGACAATCGTTGTGTCCGTAACAGGAATACCGTTTGTTTTGTTTTGGTGGTAAGTTTTCTGTAATGGTTCTGTAAACCAGTTTTAACAGACACTGTTAGTTCTCATAATTTAACCATTTTAGTCCATTGTAGTCAACTTGAGGACAATTCGATATTACGGAAACTTCAGTGAATAATCCCCGCTTCGATGAAATAACTGAAAATAACTCCCTTTGCAGCAGACTCACCCTATTGCAGACACTGAATTACGTCACCCAAGGTGTCAATCACAACGAGGACTGACTTCACTAAAATGCTTTATTCTTAAGCCCTCAATATGCGTCTATTTTTAGGTTTATCCCAGAGTCAGTCCGTTGGTTGTTGGTCAAAGGACGTGTTATGGAAGGAGAGCGTATCCTCAAAGACGTAGCTGAATTCAACAAGAAAGAACCTCTAAACGAACCACTTTTGGTAACTGCTAACGCGGACTGTGCACCTACCGCTAGCTTTTTTGATCTGTTTAGAGACAGGAAAATGGCTCGTCTTACTATCATTTTATGGGTAGCATGGTGAGTAGGAGCGCTTTGTAGAGTTTAATTTAAACACCCCTTGCGGGCACTTTTTGGAGTACGGCGTTGCGCGTAAGAAATACGAAATACGCGCACGTGCTATGCGACCACGCCGTGTCTATGATGATGATAATAATGATTTGCATTGATTATAATGGCTGATGTCATGATGGTAAATATCATAAACCCTACTAATTCGAAAGTGCAGAATAATGTTTCGTATCTTGTATAAAGCAATGAGAATTGTTATTATTATCAATTTTCTATGTTTTTATCTTTCAGGGCGGTAAATAGCATGGTTTATTATGGAGTTAGTCTAAGCTCACCATCTTTAGGCGGGAATATGTATTTTAACTTTTTCTTGACGAGTATCATTGAAATTCCTTCAAACGGTGCAGCTATATATGTCATGAAAAAGTAAGTAGAAATACTTGCATCTCGCTATTCATAAACAGTGCAGTCAGTATTTATGAATGTATTTATGTATTATTAGGTTTGGACGTAAGAAATCTACCGTGATTCCTATGATTTTAGCATCATTCGCTGCAATTGGAGCCGTGCTGCTTATGAAGGACACAAGTGATAAAGGTGCGCAAAAATTTTCTCATCATTCGTTATGTCTATACGACTATGATAACGATAATGTGTTACGCAACTTGATATGATATTTTCTGTGTTTGTAGGATTCTATGCTGGTCGAATAATCATGGCTATGCTGGCTAAGTTTTTCATCTTAATCTCGTTTGATTCTATCTATGTGTACTCGGCTGAATTGCTTCCAACTGTTGTAAGGTAGGCATATGTGACTATACGCATTGCCRCATCAGCCCTAGCTTCTAACTGATGACTCCTGGATGTAATAGACCGTTTGCATTATGACGTAACTTTACTACAACTACCAGAGATCCTTGCGCATTTTCATTGTTATTCAGATTTTTAATCCCCTTGGAGATTAATAAAACAATTGGCACTAATTGCATTACAAAAGAAAGTTGRCAAAGCATTCTGGTAGTTGTAGTAAATGACGCCATAATGTATATCGCCTATGTTTTTGGTGATAACTGTTGTTTTTATTGCAGAAACTTAGGGATGGGAACTGCTTCTGCCTGTGGAAGGGCTGGATCATTCCTGTCTTCTTATGTCGTATGGCTGGTAAGTAAAAAATAACTGACAAGACAACGTGTACATCATCTCGTAGTTGGCAGTGTAGTTGAAAAACATCTTGTCAAATTCAGTCAAGGTTCAAGCAATGTGAATGTCAGCTCACAGAGGACATCCCATATCGTAAAAAAGCTACAAATCTGTAGATTCGTGTGGACTGGGCCTTATTGATAGACGTTTCGAGCACGGCTCTTGACTTTTCGGTACTCTTAAAATACATTCACTCGTGCGAAACTGGAAACCTTCTTTTTTCTGATGATTTCGGGCACAGAAAGCTTGAGCTTGTCTTACATATTTCCTAACACATTCACTGTCTATGTTGTTAAAGAGAAAAACTTATAACTATATCAATCCCTCTAATTGTTCTCTTGCTCAGATCTTCCTCAGTTTCCCAACGAAAAATCGAAGGCTCACAATAACGGAAGTCCTAGGATCTAGGTCGTACAATTGTACAATGACGGTGCATGGGAATTTTTTGAACCAATCAAATTAAAGACTCGTTCGTCCCCAGCCAGAGCCTTCGGAACATTGAGAAGGATCTGGATACGAGAATGCTCTGTAATTGTTTTCTGTATTTGTAGGAGCGAGTTCACAAGCTTCTACCTTACGGCGTCATGGCAGCTGCCTCACTTGTTGCTGGTCTATTGTGCATCTTGCTTCCTGAAACAAAAGACCAACCAATGCCTGAAGTACTCGAAAGAGAACCATCAGAAATAGAGTTAATTCCACAAGAAGACTCGAATCAAAATAAAAAACAAATTATATGATAAGTTAACTGTATTTCAATATTGATTTAGGATCCGACATTTCTACTACTCAACAAGGCGTATGCGAGTGGGTTAGTCATCTAAGCATGTTCACTGAAAAAAACGCGCTCAATTTACAGAATATTTACATCGTATTTACAAAAAATTTTACAGGGATTACATCACGCGTTTCTTTCCAGTGATTGGTGCTTTGTCATATAGAATCAGTTCTGAAGCGAATAGAAAAAACTCCTCATGAAAGCGCATCATGAGGGGACCGTAAGCATAGTCAGGAGTTTTCCGTTTAACGGATTGATAGACGAATTTGTTCTAGTTTTTTTATGCGACGCATATGGACTTTAGAACCGTTTATTGAATAATGTATCGATAGTAAAGACAGATAGTTTATAGATATTAGGAAAAATAGTTTATCACTAGAAAACGAGGTGTTCGGCGTACTGTACATATAACAGAGTCAGACTTTTTTTTCAGTTCTTTAGAAAGTCGTATTCCGTTGTCTTGTGTAAAGCACAGGCAACCCAAGCATTGATATCTTCTATTTATTTGAGCTGCACACATTATATGATCGATAACAGTTGTCAGATAGTGTCGCTACTGTCATTCTATTGTAATATTGTACCTATAGCTCATACATAAAGAAATTGATATCATATGCGAAAAATAGTCAAGCTTAATAAAATGAAGTACGTTACTGACTTCTGTTCTCTCTGAAGCAGTGTATTTAAGTCTTAAAGTGAAATCAAACTATGACTCGCTTACGACTATACCCTTTTTGACTGAATAACGAAGAATGTGGACGTCTACCCTTAGCAGCTGTCAGCGGTTGAAGAGGCTCGCCCGTAATTACTTGTACCTCTTAATTCTATTTGTCGACGCAATAATTTCACGTAGAAAATTACATTATAACAGAAAGAACCAGACGAAAACGGAAATGAACAGGCTTGATAAGGAGAAGCTATTGACCTTTTGGTCTTTTGATATTTTGGGGTATTCATTATTGTTGTTCTTCGACAACATGGCGACGACATCCCCATTACTTGACATTAATCAGCTGATTGACATGTTGGTTGTTTAAGTTGTTTTCGTTGTGGCATTCAGACAATAATTATAATAATTTTTGCTTATTACAATAAAATGAGAGATATATTTCCGTACATATCGGTTAAGATTTCTCCTGCAAGCTTAAGGGGTAGATTGGGGAATTATTTCTACTATCATCAATACCGCTGCTGTAAGGCTGCTGAGCTGAGACGTGCCGAAAACAGCTTGAAATCACGAATTCCAGCAACCAGGACATTACTTGGGCTACCTGTGTATTTGTGGTCATCGAAGATCGGGTCAACATCTCAGACGTGTGTTTATCTCCCAAGGCATGAAGAGATAAAACAAGGTCAGTGTTTATAATTTAACTGTGTTAGAGTACAAACACTATAAAAATGAAGTATGAAGTGTACAAAATAGGTATTTATTATTTTGCTACATGTGGAGAAATGATGAAGCTTTGATAGCAGCCGAGTAAACAGCTCCAGTTTGTGCTCACACTATTGATGTCCCATGTTATTTCTTCACCATTTTCTAAATACTAGGGAAGATTCATTATATAAAAGGGCTTTTACTTCAAGATAGCAACCTACTCATTGAGTTTATCAACTGAGTGAACAACTCAATCGAGTGTAAGCACTTCATCTGTGAAACAAATTGTACTAATTAATACAAAACAGTGTGGATTAGATTATTAGCATAAAGTAGTAGTGAAGTGTTAATATAACAAGCTTACAATTCGGATGTATAGGCCAGAGGAGGTTAAAGACCAGAGAAGGTTATAGACTTCATGTTTTTATGGAATGTCGACAATGTGGGGACACGCAAGAAACCGTAARACCGCTGAGTTTAAGCACTAATCCAATTGAGAAAAAAAATAGACAAGATTCTCCTGTGAGTTCACTGATCGATTTAAAGAGGACATAGGTATCTAAATAGAGCGTTCGAAACTTAAGCATGAAGGACAACTTCATGAAAAATACATAAAATGAGTACTTCAAACTCGAAGCTGAGCCCACTGCCGAGCCTGCTCCTGATTGGCTGATAAGATCGAAAACTGACGATGGTCTTACACTTTGAAGTCAGCAGAGAAATTCGATCTCGTTTATTTTTGTAAAAGAATGCAGTTTAGACTTGTAAAAAGATTCGTTTGTATTTGTGAGCGTCATTTCGATTGGAGATTTTACTAAAAGTGCAATTTCCGCAAAACGGTGATCACTGAAATGGGATCGAAAACAGCGCGACGGAAAAGCAGCCACTCCATATACGTCTGCTTCGAAATCTGCTATGAAACGTCTCTTATGTCATGTTTCCTATTAATTTAATTAGTCTTTTACGAGTACTTGACAAGTTCAGTGAGTTGAATAGCACTCGGCTTTTAGAAGTTCTGCACAAAAATGTCCCCGAGGGTTCTTCAGTACAAGCTGTAGTCCAGTCCACTGGACCGATTCCAATTTTACGGCGATTTATTGTTCCAGGCAAAGATTTGCATATTATTATCTACATTGTCTAAGGTTAAATACATCTACAAAGGCTTTGTACAACTGGTTTGGTGTTGCAAACTAAACGGTAAGATATAATTGCTCATCTTTTATTTCCTCATTAGCTGTTTCATTCCATATCAATGAAGACTTTGCACGTGGTTTCGTAATAGGTCTTCACTTTTCAGCTGTATTATAGACAGCCGACTTATTAGCTGCAGTAAAATGAGAGCAAGTTCCATTGAACGATAAATTCGTTGTTTTCGTATATAAGGGACTTCATTGCGATTAATTCTAGCTCACTTCACTGTTTTTTGACGTTTGCTTTCGCTCTTTGCGCACCCCACACAAGACTGTTCATTTGCTTGTTTGAATGCGAATATATTCGTCAAAACCTCTCTTCTTGTGTAAACAAAACACAGGGTTTGTTTTGCATATGAAAATGCAAAATGATGTCCTTGAACTGTTTTATACTTCACTGTAACTACCATTATGAGCTGAGTTTTTACTGTAGCAAGGTTAAGAGTGNCACGTGGTTTCGTAATAGGTCTTCACTTTTCAGCTGTATTATAGACAGCCGACTTATTAGCTGCAGTAAAATGAGAGCAAGTTCCATTGAACGATAAATTCGTTGTTTTCGTATATAAGGGACTTCATTGCGAGTAATTCTAGCTCACTTCACTGTTTTTTGACATTTGCTTTCGCTCTTTGCGCACCCCACACAAAACTGTTCATTTGCTTGTTTGAATGCGAATATATTCGTCAAAACCTCTCTTCTTGTGTAAACAAAACACAGGGTTTGTTTTGCATATGAAAATGCAAAATGATGTCCTTGAACTGTTTTATACTTCACTGTAACTACCWTTATGAGCTGAGTTTTTACTGTAGCAAGGTTAAGAGTGAGTTGAATATGGATTTAAAAGTAGATGTAACTCTAAGATTAACATCATTCAGTCATCAGCGACCGTATCGAGGCAAGGTTAATGCAACATGCAATCTTGGCCAAGAAGCACATGTCACTTTTGCCGCTCTGGCGCCGGTACAAGTGATTTGTTTGTTACCAGAGAGTTTTGACAAATTAGAATTGAAGCCTCTGCATTTTCCATTTCTTCCTTTTGTTCTTATTATTTTCAATTTGGTTTTTATCGACTGATCACCTAAACGCAAGCCTGATATAAGTCATCAGCCCCCTTAACACTTTCCACCGCGTTTACATATTATTGTGGTAAACTATTAGCTCTGTGTCTCCGTCATTGACAGCTCTTTTTATTATCATTGTTTGTAGAGCTCAATGCTTATAAACAAAACTTGCGCATGTTTCGATACAAGAATCGACTTCCTTTTCACACGTATGTACGAAACTGTACACACTTATAGTATGCTAATCGTGAAGATTAATGGCGCGTCACAGGAGGCACTTGGAAAACACATTGAAAAGATAGGAGTATAAAAGGCTATTTATCTGAATATTGCTCACTATTGCTCACAAGTACAATGTCCCTAAAACACTGAGTTTATCCGAAGTAATGCGTTTTAGTGTGTATCAAATTCAGAAAAGTATAAAGCATTTAAAGGAGCCCATTAAACGACAAAGGACGCTTTGCCTCGTTACAAAAGCTTAGGATGAAACGCAAGGAACACTCAAATAGCGATCCGTGGGGTCATCAGAAACAGTCTTAGAATCTAAACTTTGATTTACTCTCAAAAATGTTATTGACCTCATTAAAATGATAACATCAACTTAATTAGATCAATGATTGT